TCTCTAGAGTCTTAGGCTGGTAATTTCAATTACAAGCAGGAAAGTGCCAGCCCATGCCTGGCACATAGCAAACTTTCCATATATGATGGCTGAATGTGCTTATTGATGAAGGTCATGAGGTATGAAGTCTCTGACTAGTTGAAGTGGAGGGAAGAGTAGAGCTTAAGTCTTTGCTTATACTACACAACATCCTAACTCACATCTCTGGCCATTGATTCTGCTTCTACCATGATGGGAAAATTGTCTGGTCTCCTCTACAAAGCCATCCCCTCCATGTTTGCCCTGGATTCCATGATCTGCCTACTTATTAAGGGCTTGATTCTGCAATTAACCCTCTCTTTTCTGAACCATCAATGTTTCCCTCTATAACAGATTATTCCTATCAGCATACAAACAAGCTCTGATGTCTCCCATCTTAAAGGAGCCTCCCTTGCTTCTACTTCTCCCTCAAGCCGCCATGCTACTCTTTGCTCCTTTTACAGCAAAATGTCTCTAAAGTGCTGTCTACACTCTCAGTATTTCTGCTTCCTCTTCTCCATTCTGATCCAAACCTACCTTAATGAGGATCCCATCCTCTCTTCCCACTAAAACAGCTCTTATCAAGCTCACCAGTGACCTTGTTGCAGCTGTAGTTGGAAAAGGGGCCTCATGGCAGGCCTTACAAACTCAGAGATGGAAAGGAACCACACAGTGTGGTCTGAATGTGAAACTCGCTAATTAGAAGCAGGTCATGGCGGGTGGGTAGTCTCATCCTAGGCCTGTAGCTTTCTTGACAAAGGTTAAGCTTTATTTTTGAAATTGTCACTTGTCTTTGTGCATCTAAGATAACAAACCTTTGAAATGTCAGAGTAATTGTCTTTTCCAGACTCCTCAAGACACAGCACCAGATAACCAGAGAGCACATTGTTATGTTGTTGCCAGCATACCATCTCTATGTGCTGTAAATGTTAACCATCCTGTGCCCACCAGTGGAAAAGAAGTACGTGTCTCTTCACTTTGCTGAGAGTTCCCTGCTTTGCTTTCTCCCGCCTCCTTAATCTACCACCAATGAATTTCATGGAATCCTTCTTAGGTTTCGTTCTTTGATCCTATGTATAAAATAAGCTGCAAAACTGCCATTCTTCAGAGCATTTTTTTCTCAATCAGTTGAGATTTTGCTTCCCTGCAATTATCATCAAATAAACTCTTATAAGACTTTTTCGTAGGCAGGGCATTCAATGGTCATTTCTCAGTCCTCGTCTTATTCTACATGTGAGCACCAACCACTCTGCACAGCTGGTAAGGCTCTGTTACCGGGTGTCTTGCTTGGCTCCAGGACACCACTCTCTCAGGTCTTCTCCTATCTCACTGGCCACTCCTCTCAGTCTCCCTTTGTCTTCCCAACCCGTAAGTAACAAAGTGCCTGGGATCAGTTCTTGGACAAATTTCCTAGCTATACCCACTCTTTAGATGATCTCATTGAGTCCCATGGTTTTAAATATCATTCACATACTGATGACTCCTGAAGTTATATTTCCAACCCTCTACCTCTCCCCTGAACCTCAACTGCCTACTTTACATAGATGTATAACATGCATATCAAACTTCAAACCAAAATCAACTAAACACATGCAAAACTCTGTATTCTCCATCCGAACTCAGCCCTTTGTCTTCCCTGCTCAAATTTTCAGTGGCTCAGATTTCAAAACTTGGAATCATTATTGACTCTCTTTTATACAACACCCCCAATCTATCCACAGATCCTGTCAGCATTTCATTCAAATTATATCTAGAGTATGATTGCTTCTCACCACCTCCACCCTAGTCCAAGCCACCACCATATCTTGCCTGGATGATGCTATCAGTCTCCTAATTGGTCTCACTGCTTCTTCTATCCTTGCCTTCCCCAACACTAGTATCCAGAATAATCTTTTTAAGAAACTGCCATTAGATAATGCCATGCCTCCACTTTAAATCTCCTAAGGCTTGCCACCTCACTCGCTGAATGAAATCCTAAGACCTTATCAGGGCCGACCAGCCCTCTGAGACCTGGTTTCAGCTACCTTTGTGGTCTCAGCTCCCACCCTCCTCCCCTTTCCCACACACCAGTCTAGATACTGGTTTCCCTGATATTCTTTGAAGATGCTAAACCCATTCCTGCCTCAGGGCCCTTGCACTCTGTCCTCTAGTCCTTATCACCCTTCCCTCTGTATCTGCATGGTAAGTTCTCTCACTTCCTTCAGGCCTCTGCCCAAATTTCACCTTCTCAAAAAAAAAAGCTGTGGCTATTCTTTCTAAAATAACCCCTCCTCTGTCATACACATACTCTCTCTCATTACTATGCTTTATTTTTCTTCCTACCAATGATCATACCTGGACATATTTTTTACTATTTGCTAATATGTTATTGATTGTTAACCACATTAATATGTAAGTTCAAAAGAACAGAGTCTTTGTGCATTTAGCCATTGTTGTATCCCAAGCTCCTAGAAGAGTGCCTGATACATAGTAAGTGTTGGACAAACACATGTTGAATGAATGGATTTACTGAATAAACTCATCTAGGTCTCTTGTCATCAGGTGAAGAGAATGGTTTCCAGACATTTGTCTAATTAATATGATCAAAATCAAGTGTGAGGAACAGGAGAGTTATGCGTAGAGATAATCGGATTATGCATTTATTTAGTACCAGTGACCACCATGGGATTCACAGTTATTTTCAGGTTGTTCCTTGATGTCAACTCATTTGTCAAATTCTAAGGCAGAACAAAACACCTGCCTGTCACTACTTTGGCATGTCACTGATCCTCGGGGACTCAGGGTGTTTATCTGTGAAATAGGCAGTTGGGGATGTGGTTACTGCTTGGCTAGTTTATGGTCTGCAAGGTGCTGGAGGGAGGCAGTACCACCACTCAGACCCTGGAGCTTGACTGCCTATCTTTGAATCTTGCCTCCATTCCTCACAAGCCACACGACTTTGGGCAACTTACTCAGTCTCCTCCTTTGTAAAGTGGGAATAATAAGTCCCTTAATTATTTATTGTTAAATAATTAATAGTTCAATTATTTATTTAATTCAAATAATAATTGTTGAGGATTACATATATGGTAATACACGTAAAGTACATTGCATATGGTCTGGCACGTAGAAAGTTCTCAATACATGTTAGCTATTAAAAATGAAAAGTTCTGGGGGAAGTTTTGAGGGGATCATTGCTATTAATGTGTTTTAGGAGCAATAAGCTAGAATATTAGATAATATGAAATCTTTAAAGGTGTGTTAGTAATGTTGTGATTGTGTAAGAGAACACCCTTCTTCTTAGGAGACACATGGTGAAGTACTTAAGAATAAAGCCTCATAATGTCAGTCACTTTCCAGTAATTTAGTGAAATGTACCTCCATGTTTCTATACTAATGTCTATGAAGCAAATATGGTGAGATGTTAACAACTATTGAAGCTAGATAGACAGTTCAGTTTATCGTATTATTCTTTCCACTTCCCTGTATGTTTGAAAATTTCAAAACACAAGGTTGAAGGGAGAAATAAAACCACTAGAAATAGTCTAGCTAAGTCCCACACGTTTTACAGGAATAGGCTCAGATGTGAAGCATTTGCCTCAGGTCATTCAGCTGGTGAGGCCTGAGTCAGAGCCCAGTTCTCCTGGCTGCCCCTCTCTCCTTTGTTTGCTGCTCTGGACCCTCAGGCAGCAGGGAGCAGCGAGGAACACGCCCAGCTCCCCCTCAGAGAGACAAGGAGTAGTAAGGGTGGGTAAAAAGGCACCTGTGTTGGTGTTTCCTTTTGGTTTATTAAGCCAATAGGTCATCTGGTTGGAAAGTGTGGTGTCGAAAATGCGAAGGCAACACCAGAGCCAGACCTGCCATCCTTAGAGAGTGGGCCTACCAGTTTGGCACCACCAGCTTGTGGTTTTTGAGTGGCAGGTGTGTGTGTGTGTAAACTCTGGGGATGCAGAGGCCAGAGGAAAGCGGGGCGGGGCCAGGGCCAGGGCCAGGGGAGAGACTGGGCTTCCATGCTGGAGCTCCCTGAAAAAAGGGACCAGGGTACCAGGGGAGGAAACTTGGGAACGTATTTAAAGAAAAAATGATTCTCTGCGGTCTGCATCTCCTCCTCTAGCTAATAGGTTCCAAGGCAGCGGGGGGAAGAGGGAGGGGGCACAGAGAAGGAACCGGGAAAGGAAGAAGAAAAATATACAGAACAACGCAGCCTGGACCACGGTGGGAGGGCTGGAGGGGAAAAGGGTGTAGGAGAGGGAGGGAGCCGAGGACGACCCTTAGCCTCTGCAAGCGGAAGAGTCTTGCCCA